AAATGAGAAGACAGTAAAGCAACATTTTTCAAGTACTGAAAGAACAACAAAAAAAAACTGTCAACCTAGAACTGGCAAAAATCTCTTTTAAAAATAAAGGTGAAATAAAGAAGTTTTCAAACATACAAAAGCTGAAAACACTCATCACCAACAGACCCAAATATATAAAATGCTAAAAATGTTCTTCAGGCAGAAGGAAAATGATACCAGATGGAAATCTAATTCTAAGCAAAGGAATGCAGAGAACTGGAAGTGGTAATTAAATGGGTAAATATGTTTTTTAATTGTTGAAATCTCTTTAAAAGATATTTGACAATTTAAACAAAAATAATGCATTATAGTGTTTATAACACGAGTAAAAGTAAAATTTGTTGTATGGTATGTCAATTATATATTAATAAACCTGTTTAAAAAACAATTAAAAATTTTAAAAAAGGAAAATGTGACAATGATAGCATAAAGGCTTGGAGAGGTGAAACTGAAGTATGCTATTGTAAGATTATTATACTCTATGTGGCAGTTTATATTATTACGTAAAGGCAGACATGGCTCAGTTGATAGAGTATGCATTTCTTCAGGGTTGTGAGTTTGAGACCAACAGTAGGCAGAAACCTTAATTTAATAAAAAATGAAAGCAGACAGTGATGAGTTAAAGATGTATATTATCAACCTTAATGCAGTCACTAAAATAGAAAAAAAAAGAGTTGAGATATTAAGGCAATGATGGAAATAAAAATACTGGATTAACCTAAAAGAAGGCAGGAGAGCATAAAAACAGAATGAAGGACAAACAGGACAAAGAGAAAACAAATACCAAGATGATGAAGTAAAATCTAACCATATCAATAATCACATTAAATGGGAATGGTATAAACAGCCCACTTAAAAGGTAGACATTGTTAGGCTGCACAAAAATTAAGATCCAATGATTAGTTTTCTACAAGAGATGCACTTTAAAAATAAAGACAGGGCGCCTGGGTGGCTCAGTCGGTTAAGTGTCTGCCTTCGGCTCAGGTCATGATCCCAGGGTCCTGGGATCGAGCCCCAGGCGGGGAGCGTGCTTCTCCCTCTCCCTCTGCCACTCCCCCTGCTTGTGCTCTCTCTAGCTCTCTATCAGACAAAATAGTTGTGGGAACAAAGTATAATACCACACATAAATATTTCAAAATGACAAGTGGGTCAAATAATCAATTCTACACCTTTTTTTTTTTTAAAGATTTTATTTATTTATTCATGAGAGACAGAGGAGGAGAGAGAGAGGGAGAGAGAGAGAGAGAGAAGCAGGCTCCCAAGGAGCAGGGAGCCCGATGTGGGACTCGATCCCAGGACCCCGGGATCATGACCTGAGCCGAAGGCAGACGCTTAACCATCTGAGCCACCCAGGCGCCCCAATTCTACACCTTTAAACACACTGTTTAAACACGCTGAAGAAAAATCTGATAGAACTGCAAAGAAGAATATACAAATCCATAATAATAGTAAGAAAAAGATCTCTGGGAAATCTCCATATTTAGAAAATAAACAACATGCTTCTAAATAACTCACGAATCAAAGAAGAAAGTAAAAGAGAAAGCAGAAAATTTTATAAGCCGAATGAAAATGAAAACATGACATATCAAAATTTATGGGAGGTAGCCAAATCGATGCTTACAGTGAAAAGTAGAAAAGTCTCAAATCAATGAATTATTTTTCCACCTTAAGAAACAAAGCACAGGTGGAGCAGGAATGTGGGATGAGGATGAGGAGGAGAAGAGGAGCAAATCAAATCTAAAGTAAGCAGAAATACAGAAATAATAAAGAACAGAAATAAAAATCAACCTGGGCTCAGGTTTCCCATAAAGTTGCTAGAAAATGAAGCAATATTTACAAAGTAGTACTTTGTTTCACAAAATACTACACCAAGCAAGTTGTCATTTTTGTATAAAGAAACAAGAAGTAAATAAAATCTCAAGAAGAGAGAAGCTCCGAGTCCTTCACTGGGGGGAAAAATGATGACAAAATGCAGCCAAATGAGGGATATTCAAAATAAACAATAAAGGAATGGGAAGACAGGGGAAGATAATTGGTGGTCGTTAAGCATTTAACTCATTTAAATGTAGAAACAAGACTGTAAGTATTATGGTTATAGAATAGAATGCAAATATTTAAATCCTAATGCTAAAATGAAGAGCACCTAAAAATTATTTTCAAAAATGGAATTAGCTATCACCATAACCAGTAATCCTTAATTACATACTAACAAGGAGTTTGGGAATTTGGTTTAAACTTCATAGGAGATGAAGGTAAAGGGAGATGTAAACACTTATTTAAACCAAAAGAAAATGCTGGTATATGCATATTCCACTTCAGCTTTTTATCAGCAGAGTTTTTGATGTGAACTCTGCATTGTAGATTTACTGAATTATGTGACAGAGAAAATGATCAAGGTTTTGGATTTTCTCAATGTTCATGACCATTATTAATTTATGGAATAGTGGAAAGAAGAGCTAAGTATGTAGATCTGGTTTACAAAATGCAGACAGATGTCTTAATTATGGAAATTTGTTAAATAGATATACTGAGCTGCTTCCTCAGACCAAGAAATTTTGAAATTAAAGAGCTCCCAGAATTTCAACTTGTTAAACCTCAGTAGTTTATAATGATAATGTAAGAAGACTGCTGACTCTATAGAATCAATATGGAGGAACCCAGCTAATTTGTTGAAGTAAGTATTGATATATCTACTCAATCTAAACTTGTGGTTTGAGCATATGCTAAGAAAAGACTACACTGGATGTTCTGACCTCAAAGGAAAATAAAGGTTTAAAAGAATGTAGAGGTAGTATATGTAAGTGATGAATCACTAAATTCTACTCCTGAAACTAATATTATACTCTATGTTAACTAGAAATTAAATAAAAACTTGAAACATTAAAAAAATTAAATTAAAAAATAGAAGAATGGCAGAATATCTTTGTACAAATATCATTACATTTCAGAAGAGATTTCACAGATTTTAATTAGTAAGAATTATGCTCTTAGTTAATAGCAAAATAGTTATAGAATATACAGCATCCAAGGTATCCCATAAGACTCTAATATTTTCAGAACTATTTTAAAATAGCCAAACTCTCCACAAACTATTGATTTACCTGGCACTGTAAAAGACCATTCTTTTTACGAAACTGCTGAAACAGAAACTAAAATCTAACAACTCAGAGATATCAGCTGGAATCCATTTTGATATTCGTTTCTGGCTGTTTTTTGACAAATTTCTTTCTTTTTTTTTTTTGAGACAGAGGAGGAGAGAGAGAGGGAGAGAGAGAGAGAGAGAAGCAGGCTCCCAAGGAGCAGGGAGCCCGATGTGGGACTCGATCCCGGGACTCCAGGATCATGACCTGAGCCGAAGGCAGTCGCTTAACCAACTGAGCCACCCAGGCGCCCTTGACAAATTTCAAAAATAATTCAGTTTTCCTTATTAATCTGACTCAAAATGATCACTCTACATTTTATATAAAACTGGACTTGTATAATTCCAATTTACCCAAAGTTGGCTAGATGCGTTATAGTATATAATTGTTAAAACTGTAAGTTGTTTGCAAGTTGGGTCTATACTCCTATAAAAATTCCATTCATCCAGGGTTGGCCAATGTTAGTATACATAACTGTTTAAACGAGTGTTTCCACTCATAATTTGGAGTCCAATTTGCCATATATCTAAATAAAAATATAATTGCCTGGTAAATGTAGTTTTCCACCATAATATATTGTCATACTTCACAGCCAATATAAATAATATAACATAAATAATGTCAAATTTTTAAACCATGTGTTGTAAGAAAATCAGACTTTCAAATGTACAATGGTTTGAAATAGCACATAAATCCCCCCTAAAGAATCACACTACAAAAACATGCTCCCAAGATACTAACAAAAAAAATTAGACCATTTGGAGAAATAGAAGATAATCAAGAGGGAATATTTTTTTATTTTTTGAAATGTTTTCTCACATACTGTCTAAAGAGCTAACATGATTTCCCTCTATAAAATCCTTTCAATGTAAGCATTTACTTGACATTACAAAGGGGCAGGATTTGCCATACAGAAGAATCAATAATAACCTTGTAAAGCCTAAAGCAGTGAACATAAACATGCTGTAGGAGACATTAACACTAGACTGAAAGAAATAATTATACTTTCAATAAACATGCTCCTACTGGATAATCAATTTTTTACACATCTTTGCAGCTGTTTCACAGCTCAGGTAGTGAATGGCAGCAGCTGTTATATCAAAACCATATATTATATGCATATGAGGTACTTTCAATTTTTCATAGGTATCTACTTATTTGTGATCAGCCACATTTAACTCATATTAAATAAAAACAAGGTATTCATGGGGTGATTAATTCAGGAGGATTTTTAGTACCATCTTATTTTAGAAGTGAATTCTTAAACCAATTATTTTTATGTCAGAATATTTAATAATTCAAATTACATGCTGCCCTTATTCCTAGATTTAAGAGATTTGTCACAATCAATGTTTCTGAAATATTAAATTAAAACGTGTCATGGTAATTACTATGGAATAAACAGCAATTAAGATTTTTTAGGCAAATAAGCTCAAACTGTTTGCAGTGCATATTTATACCACTAATATTTTCCCACACAATGCATGCATCATTCACAACAAGCAGCCTAAAAACACAAAATGTAAATTTGTAGAATTATTTCAACAGATCTTAAGATCTTTTGATTTAATATGGAATTTGATACTTAGTTAAAAAATATCTATGTATAATGTATCCAAAAAGAGGTAGACTCCAATGTTAAGTAATACAAATAATGTTACCATAGAATGATAATGTTTTTGTTCTGTACTTGTAATATAGAACCTAACATATGCTGTAAATAATTTGCAGGATAAGTAAAAGACAATTATTTAAAAATGTATATGCACTAACAAACTATAATTAATAGTGTAAATATATACCCGAAATTTGAATTAGGTAAATACTTACTGCTATATAATAAACTCTTGCTTTTTCTACCAATGTCCAGTTTTTCTCCATATCAAGATGTTTTTCCTTTTTATAACAATTGGCAGCAGCAAGATTAGCCACAAGGGACCTAAACCAACAACAAAAATCAAGTAGGCTTTAATTCTATAGCTAAAGTTGTCATTAATACAATTAATTAGCAATACTATTTTCAAATTTTGTTTCACATTTTAATTCTTAATTTTTCAAAATTTCTATACATTGATATTAATAAATGTAAATAAAATTAAATTTGTTTTGAGCACTTTTTGAGACTTCTGTGTTGTCTTTGAGATAGAGATATTAATCTGTGCTCTAAATACCACCTGGTATTTTGAGAAACTGGAATTTATGTTTCCTTTGGTACTAAAATGATAAGATTATCTATTTTTTACATTTTAATAGTTCAAAATACAGTTAGGACATTAAACTACTATGTTGTTATGCAAAAAAATTATGCAAAAAAAGATATATACATATACATACATATATACAACTAAACACTTCAGTTTTTAAGTATCAACATACTATATACATTGATTATTTAATCTAATGCTTTGAAAGTCAACCATGGGATTAATTTCACAAAACACACCTATAAATGTAGGCCCTATTTACTATGAGGTATTAATTTGCAAACCAGTACATTTTAAAGACTGGAGTAAAATTAGTTTCTATAGTTGAAAACTCCCTATACAGGTCCAGTTTTGCAGCTGAAAAATCTAAGCAGGATACTGCATTTAAAATCTTGCTACACGTGGCAGATAGGAATTTTTGTTACTGCCCAATAATTAAAATTAATAAAATAATTATTTATGTTAAATACAAATTAATAAAAATATTTTTTCTCATTCTGACCCAGAAATTAGAAAATAACTTGCCATTTTTTCACTCTTTCTAATCAAAAGGGAACAGTTATGGTTAAAAAATGGATACATCATTTCATCACTTGAGATTTTTATAATATGGCTGGTTCCTCTGTTAAGGAAAAAATTGATTATCTTCCAAAACATATTTGTACTCATCTATATGCCAACTGACTACTGAAGGATATCAATTCAATTTATGCTCAATTAAATTATTAAAAATAAGAACAACGTGAATCAGTATATTTACTATATTACCGAGTTAGGAATTAGTACCAATTTATAAAAAGTCAGTAGTCATGACTTTAGCAAAATTCTGACTGAAATGGTTATATATAAAAATAAAAAACAAACACTTCTGCTACCAGTTACTAAATTCTATTTTGACAATAAAACTACTCTTTGATAGGAAACGACATTGTTTCTCCAAAAGGTAAGTATTCTCACTATCCAAATGAATGTGGTTCAGTTTGGAGAGTGAGAACCTGAATTAAGAAGAATACTGCATTATCCCAATTCTTTTATTCCTGGGTTTTAAATAGTGGTAGTAAGAGTTACCAGCCCTATCTAAAACAAATTATCCAAATCTATTAGGTCCTATAATTTAATTGATAATGTATCTGATAGTGGGAGTTTCCCCCCATTTTCTGACTTCCAGTATTACCTGAACATCAATGATCACTATATCCATAATATTAGTATATTAATTAAGCTTCTGATATCTGGGAGACCTAATATTATCGTAACTGCTCTTTAAAATAGCAATTTAGCACAAAAAAACAATTTAGCAATTTTACACCAGCCTGAGAGGTAGCAGATGCAAAACTTGACTTATTTTTCACTAATGAGAAAAGCGCACCTGCATATTAAAGTTGGTTTTAGGAAAACTGAAAAGGGAAAAGGTCTAAATAAGTATATTTCAATGTTTGAACAATAAACGGTTTTATTTATTAAAACCTTAATGATAGGGCGCCTGGGTGGCTCAGTTGGTTGAGCGACTGCCTTCGGCTCGGGTCATGATCCTGGAGTCCCAGGATCGAGTCCCGCGTCGGGCTCCCTGCTCAGTGGGGAGTCTGCTTCTCCCTCTGACCCTCTTCCCTCTCGTGCTCTCTATCTCTCATTCTCTCTCTCTCTCAAATAAATAAAATCTTTAAAAAAAAAAACCTTAATGATAAAGTTCTCCTATACACAAAAAATAAAATTACGGGAAAGGTTTAAAAATGGCTTTGGCACTCTCTAGAGCTTGTTTAATCTTCACGACCCTAAGAGGGAGGAATTCTCCCCTTTTTGCAAAGAGGAAACAGAAGATTTATTTGCTTTACATCCTTGGCCCCAGCAGGATCCCTGCTGCAGGTGGTGGGGCAGGAAAGCCCAGCCTCACCTCTGCTCCTGTCTCCCAGGGGCCTCATGGGCTTGTGCGCCTCTCAGGGCCCACTGCCACATGACACGATATGACTTATACTGCCTTGGTGGGGTGTTATCAGGTTCCAAAGGAATATGCTTTGCCTATGTTGTTCTTATTAGAGATCACGAAGGGGAGTTTGGTTTTGGCGATTTTTTAAAAAAATGCTAGTTTCCTTCCAGAGTGGACACTGCCTGAGGGCCAGAACGCTGCCCGCCTTGTTCACATCTATATTCCCAGGAACTAGAATAGTACTTGTCACCCGCGAGGAGCACATTTTTTAATGAATGCATGAGGAATGAATTGAGCAATACCATGATATGATAACTTGATCTTTTAAAAGTTGTATTTTAGTTATTTAATGACTACTGGTCAGAAGGGTGTCAGGTCCTTAACATACATCTGCTAAAGGTCAAGGAGTGAGCAAAGTAAGAAAGAGGAAGGGAGCAAGGGAAGAGAAAGAAGGGAGGAAATAAAGGAAGACAAGAGGCAAATAAGAAAGGAGAGGAAGAAGGGCAAGGACGGAGACAGGGAATGGAGGAAGATACACTAAATATTTCGAGGTATAAGGAAAGTAAAATTTCCAGTGAATTGCTATTTACAAAGAGACATCATTGTTGATTTTAATAATATAATAGCTAGGGGGCACCTGGGTGGCTCAGTCATTAAATGTCTGCCTTCAGCTCAGGTCCTGATCTCAGGGTCCTGGGATCGAGCCCTGCATCGCATCGGGCTCCCTGCTCCGCGGGAAGCCTGCTTCTCCCTCTCCCACTCCCCCTGCTTGTGTTCCCTCTCTCTCTCTGTTAAATAAATAAATAAAATCTTTAAAAAAATAATAATATAATAGCTAGAAAAGTTATTTTGTTTTTCCCTTGCAAAGGAGAAAAAAGGATGTGCTAATGAGCAACATAGTATGTAGTGAAGAAAAACCTCCATGTGGCTGCAAGAGGCACGAATACAACCAATGTATGGAAAGTCCCAAGACATAGATTTCAAGTTCATAGAAAGAAGAGTTTTCTAAAAAGTAAAATTGTATAGAATGTAACGATTGGTTTTTTGAGTGGTGCATCACCCATGACTGAAGCTGTTTGATATGGACAGATGACTATTTGCCAGAAATGCTTTACATGACCTAATTCATATGACACTGGACATAACGCAGTATTTTATATATGTTACAAAATACATGCGTTAATCTGTCTATGTATCTGAATATTCCAATCTCAGCATTCTTTTCATTCCAGTTTCAGCAAGAAACTATAAGACCCTGAATAAAATGTTTTCCTTATTTTCCTTTTCTGATCGTAATTACAAAAATTAGAGAGTGGGATAGATAATCTCAAAACTTTCATTCCATATGCCTCATGAATACAAAAGCAGGTACAACAAGGGTATTTTTTTTAAAAGAAAAATTATATATAAGAAGAGTTATTGAAACATTGAAAGCAATTAAAAACATGAAATCTAAATTCCAAATGCAGATTGGAATTCAGATTTTATGATTGTTTCAATGTCAGTTAGTACAAACCTTCTTTGGAATTACACTGACCTGTTGCTACCAGTGATGCACACAGCACAAGTTCCTGTTGTTTGCTCATTTTGCTCATAGTAATGAGCATCCACATGGGCTTCAGCAGCTTTTTTCTTCAAGATCTCTCCAAATGTATCTGTCCCAATGCATCCAAAAAATGTTGCTGCTTTGTATGGCTGCTGAATCATCCACTGAAAAACAGGAACAAAAATAATTTTAATGGCTTAGAAATATGGTACACATAGAATGGTGGCATAAAAGGGATACTCTGTTAGATGCTGTGGCTGTTATGAATGGAATTCCAATCCTAACGCTTATGGTAACAAATTTGATAAAACAACCACATAAAATCTTATTATACTACTTTCAGGGAGAGAAACAGAGCACAGTGGGGTTAAAAACTCAGAATCTAGTCACCTAGACTCTAGGTCAATGCTAGCTTGATATAGAAAAATAATAGTGAGTCCCAACAGAAGTAGAGTAGCACTGCCATTAAAAGCCCAGAATCTATACTGAGGACTGTCTGGGTTCAAATCCTGCCTCTGCTAATTATTACCTGTATGAGTAAGAGCATGTCACATTTCTATACATTATTTTTAATTATTGTTAATCTCTTACTGTGCATAATTTATAAATTAAACTTTATAATGGGTATGTGTGTATAGGAAAAAATCATAATATATATGGGGATCAGTATATATTATATCTATACATTTCTATACCTCATTTTCCGCACCTATAAATGGAAAAATATATAAGTACACCTCATGAGGTTGTTGAGAATTAAACTAAATAACTTAATGTATATGCACTGTTGAGCATAGTATCCAGCACATAGTAAACGATATATACTAGCTGTGGTGGTCACTATTATTTTCATACTTGTTGTAATTCATATGTAAATTAAGCTAAAATATGATTAAGTCTAATAAATTGTTCTAAAAATTCAAAAATAGTGTTAAAAATTATAATTCTAACATCTAAGTATTTCAGTAGTCTCAAACTTTAATTTCCTTGCTAAAAACTGACAGTGGACTGCTTTTAAAATGTGCATTTTAAACTATACCATGAACTATTACCTTTCATAATTATCTCAAATTCCTGAGACTTCTAATACTTACATTAGCTATTCTTTTTTTAAAAATGTTTTATTTTTAATTTAATTTTATTACATTATGTTAGTCACCATACAATACATCATTAGTTTTTGATGTAGTACTATTCTAAAACTGTCATCTATTTTGTTTGTTTGCTTCTAAAACCAGCAAAATATCCCATATACTAAGTCAAAAGACATTAAAAGCTTACCACATTCTCAAATATTTGAAGTATAAAAGAAATGCATATATACTTGAAAGTTAAAGGGATGAAGAGACAAAAAGTAACAAAGAAAACTATAAGATAAATATACAATAACTGTCTAGGGATTTGTTCTGAGGATACATATCCACAAATATGAAACAACATATGCATAAGTACTTGTTAAGACATCATATGTAATGCCAAAATGTCAGAAACAACTTAAATGCCCATCCACAGGAGACTGGTTGAATAAACTGATATATCCCCTCAATGGAACATCACACAGCAACTTAAAAAAAAACAATCAAACAAGGATAAGCTATGCAGAGTAATCCATTTATATAGAGTGATTGCTAGGATCTTTTCTGAAGATTTAAAAAAAAGACCAGAGTTCAAAAGTGTGTCTGTATGTGTGCATGTATACTCTAAGAGACAGTGAGAATTAAAATCATATATATCCTTTTAGTACATACATATATTCTTTCAGAATTTATACATAATTTTAAGTTTCCTTATTTTGTAAAACGAAACACAGAAAGAATAAACCATGAACTAAAGAAAAATGGTTTTCTATCAGGGTGGGTGGGAAAGGAATAAAGAAACTGAAACAGAAGAAAGATTCCTCTGAATGTGCCACTACACATAAAGTAGCCTTTTGAAATGCTAAAATTGTACATTTTTGAAAGTGTAATTCAATTTGAATTTTAAATTCATTTGGAAAAAAGGTGATAAAGTTGAATACACAGAAACAAAGAAATCAAAGAAAATATAAAATTGTAACATAACTCTATAGAAAAAATACAAATAACTTTCAATATACTATTACTTTTCAATATACTAATATAAGGAACAAAAACCAAAAAATATTGGAGGATAGAACATTTGAAATTATTGGCTCAGAAGAGCAAAAAGAAAGAAAGAATGAAAAAGAGTAAAAAGAAACTTACAGAAATGGGCGCCTGGGTGGAGCTGTCGGTTAAGTGTCTGACTCTTGATTTCAGCTCAGATCATGACCTCAGGGTTGTGAGATCAAGCCCCATGTCAGCTTAAGATTCTTTTTCTCTCCCTCTCTCCCTTCCCCACCACCTCCCTCTCTAAAAAAAAAAGAAAGAAAGAAAGAAAGAAAAAAAAAGAAAGAATATTTGCATTATGAGAATTCCAGAAGAAGAAAAAAAGGACAGAAAGTATATTTAAGCAATAAGGGCTGAAAACTTCCTGAACAGAGAAACAGAAAGGGACATCCAGATCCACGAGGCCAAATAGGTTGAATATGAATAGGGCTACACTGAGACACATTATAATTAAATTGTCAAAAGTTAAAGACAAAGAAAGAATTTTAAAAGCAGCAAAAGAAAATAGAGAAGTTATATACAAGAAAACCCCCATATGATTATGGGTAGATTTCTCAACAGAAACTTTACAGGCCAGGAGAAAATGAGATGAAACATTCAAAGTATTAAAAGAAAAAAAAATGTTAATCAAGAATTCTATATCCAGCAAAGCTGTCCTTCAGAAATGAAGGAGGGATAAAGACTTTCCCAAACAAACAAAAGCTGAGGGAGTTCATTACCACTAAACCCTGCTTATAAGAAATGCTAAATGGAGTTCTTTGAGTGGAAAGGATGCTAATTAACATCATAATAACAATATAAGAAGGTAGCATAAAACTAACCGGTAATGGTAAATATGCCATCAAAGTTAGATTCTGTAATATGGTAATTGTGGTACGTAATTCACTTAGAACTTCAGTTTTAAGTTCAAAAACATGAATGTAGTAAAAATAACCATAAACACAATAATCTGTAATTAGTTACACAATATAAAAGCATGCAAATTGTAATAGCAATAACTTAAAGTGAGAGGGGGAAGAGAAGTAAAAGTGTAAAATTTAGGAATTCTAATGAAGTTAAGTTGTTATTGGCTTAAAATAAAGTGTTATAATTAACATATTTTATGTAAGCTTCATGGTAACCACAGGGGAAAACTTGTAACAATTACACAAAATTACATGATAAAAAAGTCAAAGCATATTGTTACTGAAAGAGATCAAAACATGAAAAACGACCGCAGGATAAGAAATAAGGAACAACATATCTACAATACAATTAAGAAACAATTAACAAAATGGCAACAGTAAGTCCTTATCTATTGAGAATTACAGTAGTCTCCCCTTATCTGCAGAAGATATGTTCCCAGATCCCCAGTAGATACCTGAAACTGCTGATAGTACTGATCCCCATATATATTATGATTTTTTCCTATACACACGTATCTATTATAAAGTTTAATTTATAAATTATGCACAGTAAGAGATTAACAATAACTAATAATAAAATAGAAAAATATTAACAATATACTGTAACAATAGTTACATGAATATGCTTTCTCTCTAAGTATCTTATTGCACTTTACTCGACCTTTTTGGGATGAGTGATGATAAAATGCGTAGAAGATGAGATTAAGGCGAATAACATAGGCACTGTGACACACAGCATTATGCTACTACTGATGTTCTGATGATAGGAGAGGAAAAGGATCATCAGCATCCAGACTATGGTTGACTGTAGGTAACTGAAACTATAGACTGGGGGGAAGGGGTGGTGGGGTAATACAGTATTTTAAACATAAAAAGATTAAATCCTCCAATCCAAAGACACAGAATGTCTGAATTTAAAAACCAAGATCCAATAAGATGTTGCCTACAAGAGACTCACTTTCAGCCTTAAAGACACATATAGACTGAGAGTGAAGGGATGGAAAAACGCATTTCAAGGAAATGGTAACCAAAACAAAGCAGGGGCAGCCATGCTAATATCAGACAAAGTAGACTTTAAACTAAAAGTGGTACAAAGACAAAGAAAGTCATTATATAATGATAAAGGGGCCAATCCATACATAAGGTTTAACAATTGTAAATATTTATGCACCCAACACTGGAGCACCTAAATATATAAGAAAGAAACACAGCTAAAAGGAGTAATGAAAAGCAGTACAATAATAGTTAGGGACTTTAATACCCCACTCTTAACAATGAATCATCCAGATCATCCAAATAGAGAATCAGAGAATGGGAGAATGAGAAAAAGGTAACAGCGTATTTCAACAAACTATAGATCAAATAGACCTATAGAAATATAGGCCTAACAGAAATATAGAGAACATTCTATCCAACAGCAGCAGAATATACATTCTTCTCAAGTGCATACATTTTCTAGGCTAGTTCATATGATAGAACACAAAACAAATCTTAGCAAGTTCATTAAGACTGAAATCATACCAAGTATCTTCTTTGACTACCACGGCATGAAACCAGAAATCAGTAACAAGAGGAAATCTGGAAAATGCACAAACACACGAAAATTAAACAACACTCTCCTGAAAAATCCAATGGATCAAAGAAGAAATTAAAAGGGGAACAAAAAAAATTTCTTGAGACAAATGAAAATGAAAAAACAACATACCAGAATTTGGGGGATGCAGCAAAAGCAATTCTAACAGGGAAGTTTATACTAATAACTGCTTACATTAACAAGCATGAAAGATTCTAAATTAACAAACATTATGCCTTATGAAACTAGAAAAAGAAGAACAAACAGCCCAAAGGTAGGTGAAGAAAGGAAATAATACAGATTAAAGCAGACATAAATGAAATAGAGAACAGAAAACAATAGAAAAGATTAACCAAACTAAAGGCTGATTCTTTGAAAAGATAAGCAAAATTCACAGTGCTTAGCTAGACTAACCAAAGGGGAAGAAAAAAAAAAGAGAGAATACAAATCATCAAAATTATAAACAAAAAAAGGAAGCAATACAACTGATACCACAGAAATAGAAAGGATCATAAGAGGCTACTGTGAACAATTATATGCCAACAAACTGGACAACCTAT